GAGTAGTGATTGTTAGTAATTAAAAACCAGATTGTTAGTAATTAAAAAACTGTCGTAGGTAAAGTAGTGTACGCAACTCGCGTTAATAGTCTTTACGACTCTCGTAGAAGTTTTTAAGGCACTCGCCTAGGCTCGTACCTTAATTTTTCTACTTGTGTCGTAAAGACTAACTTAACGCAATCGTTGCGTAAACTACTATTTCATTGTATTCTCATAATTTCGATAACTGTGTTTATGGTGCTCGTCAATCTGACCATCAGTCCTTGTCATTGGGCATGAAAAAGCCTGGCTTATCAACATATGTTCTTCACCAGTATAAAATGAGTTTCACGCTTTCCTAAGCTCATCGTTCACGCTTATTTCGCTTAAAATAATCCCCATTGCGCCCGCATCTCAATCATCAATTATTGATATGGGGTATATGGGGTTAACCACCTAGGTGCGTATTTTAACCCCAATATGAGTGAAAGGATGAGTGGTAAATGGAGTGAGATGATATTTGTAGCCTTTTTACTGACTTAATAAGATCATTGGTAATAATAAGAGTCTATACTGAAGTAGTTGTTGAATGATTTTTTGATTTTTTGTTCCTTGGTTTCACTGCCATACAGTTAGTCAAAACCATAAATATTTGGTTTAACTTAGATGCTGTTACAATCATAAGCTGGCTCTTTTATTAATCTTGTTTACTTCATAAAAATAAAAGTGTTTATTTATCTCTTAATGAAAGTCATTGCAGATCCAAAAACTTCATCGAAATTGGTTTTTTACTAATCATGATCAAAGATTTCCGCAATCATCCCTCTAAGAATATTGCGCAATGTCGATATTTCGATTAATATTTCAACATCTCATTAATAAAATAAACCTAACTTAATGTACATTTACATTTCACTAAAATAAAATTTTAAAATCAATTTTTATTTTTGGAAAGCATAATAGTATGTTTCTTTAGGCATACTAGGGCCTAAAGTGACTCTTTTTAACCCGAGGTCAAGTTTTACGATCGAGGCGAAACCGAGGTCGGAAAATTAGCGAGGGTTAAAAAGTCACTTTTTGCCCGTGTGGTGAACTATATTTTTGTCATATTGCACCATTATTTTAACAAACTATGTTACAAAACGTAATTTAGGGTAACCTCTCAAAACTGCTTCTAACTTGTTTTTAATTTAATTTGCTAATGGATAAAAGCAGCTGTTTAGTAAGTAATTTAATCGTTTCGTATTGTGTTACAGTATATTATACCATCGATATGTCAAGCAATCGACAACAATAGGAAAAAATCTTACCTAAAAAATCAATCGATAAATAATTTCAATCGATACGATTGCCACAATCGAAATTTACTACTGTTTACAGTGGCAGATTTTTACCCCCTAGAGACTAAAGATTTAGTAAAAATGCTACTTTAGATATGCAACGCATGCATTAAAAATTACTGTTTTTGCTGTAGTATGACGAAAAATATTTAATTTATTAAGCATTATTTTTAGAATTAGGACATGGCACAGGCTCAAAACTGAACTTTTACCTCCCGAAAAATATGAATGTAAAATTTAAATCCAATGTTGATTGATTCTTCAGTGGGTCAGTTCTAAAATTGAACTGATCTGTAAAACTCAACCTAACACCTACCTTTAGTAGAGATGCAGGCTCGTGTGGGATCAGTGGTGTAATGAGCTGATAAGATTGATAACAGGTTGAGCAACAATTCGCTGATAACAGCTGGGTTTGTCACTCATATGGTATGTCATCAACCACCATGGTAAAGATGTAGTCTGTGGAATGTCAGCTGTTCTATTCGTAACTCATTACAATGGTTTGTTGAACTAACATCTTCACGGTACTATAGTGGAAGAAGCTTTATCAGTTATTGTCAAACCTAAACACTGATTTGACAAGTGTTTCATCTGATTATGTTTTGAGTTCACAGTAAACTGATTTTTTCCTTTTTATTTCAGAGTATATTTTACAATGTGTACTATACTCTAGAATAATATTACTTTATTATTTTGTAGTGTACGCCACAGTTTACCTTTTTTATCATTATTTCAGGTCAAACTAGTTTAAAATTGGTAAAATATGAACCTCTTAGAAAGCAACGAAACGCTATCTACATAGAGCGGACAGAAATGTACGTTATTTTGATAATCCATAAGAATACAAAAATGTTGATGGTATGTTCGATACCTCTAACTAGAACAATATTTTCAAAGTTGATACTGAGATTGTGAATTATTATTATACTGAGAATGCATTGATGGATTGATGATAAAAGGAATCTTACCAAAACTTTCAGTGTTAAAGCTTTTTCCTGATTCGTAAGGCTGTACGTTGATTTAATAAAAAAATATTGGCGATGGTTAAAAACAAACTGCATGACCTTAAATGTTTTTGCAGAAAAAAATACATAATTGTCAACTAGTAGTGTTATTAGCCTATGAGTTTTAACTATAAATATGAAATTTACACTTTATATGTCATTTACAATTTAACGCGAGTTGCGTACACTACTTTACCTACGACCGTTTTTTAATTACTATCAATCTGGATTTAATTACTAACAATCACTACTGATAACTTTTTAGAGAGGTTATGTTTTCGTGTATTGTCATTGCCACTGAAAGTGATGCAACGACTTGTTGTATAATCAGCTGGTTTCCTGTAATTACGTGTTTGTTAAACTTCGTTAAATATTACACAGCATTCTTACCTGACATTTTTAAATCGGGTAATCTGCCTTGCTTTAACTTCCACCAACTTAATTAAGAATACGCTAGTATCAACATGAACAAGTCGGATCAACAATTAAATTGGTCAACTGATCAGCTGATCAGCTGATTAGTCGACGTTCGAAGCATTACAATTTTAATTCTTTTATCTCAATACTTGAACCTGATTGGTCCGTTACCTGTGTTGATATGAGAAAAACTATGCTGATATGAAAGTAAACAGCTGTAAAGTGAATCTTTTCAATACTAAGAACTGAACTGAAATGGCTACTTTAAAAAACGGTCGTAGGTAAACAATCTTTCTTCATATCTACAGCCAGTCCCAAATCGTTGATTTTTGTTTCTTCTCTTACCTTATTTTCTTTCCTCTCTTTTATGTTAAGTTTTTTCTTTTATTTTAGTACACAGGATAATAGTTTGAATCCTTACGAACTTGTTTTACAGATGGATGTCCCTAAAAATTACACTTACAAATGTTAAAAGGTAAAAGAAACGTCTGATTTTTGTTACACTATTGTGAAATAACCTGTTTTCGTGACATGTTCATCACCTGTGAAAATTCATCATTACATTGTTTACTACAGAAAAATAATGTTAACTATCTTTTTTTGGATTTTGCCAACGTAAAAAGATTTGTTATTATTTTGTCAACTGTTTCAATTTTCAACAACCAAAACTGTACAACCACAGTAAATATTACTTTAAAGTGAAGGCATAACCTAATAAATGCTATGAGTTGTGTAATGTAATAAAGTAATATTCAATGTATGCTTAGTTGAGATAATAATTAGTGTTTATAGTCTAGCGTTAAGTATCGTTCAAAACACGAGTGAAAGTGTGTCTCTACCATATTCTCGACCAAAAGTGCTCGATAAATTTTGCACCTAAACAATGGTCTCGAATATGTGAATATGACTCACTTCTACTCTTGTTAGGATATATACTATTTTAAAATCATGTGCACACGTTATTACAGGTGATGTGTAATTATGTTGGCAATGGTATTTTAGATTCATAAATACTTAATTAGGTCTTGTGAGTGTTACAAATTACAACGTTTAGAAACATAATCCATCTATATGGTCTGTTTTGAATAGGTTTGTCTTGAAAAATTATAAAAACTGTATTATAAGAAAGACAAAGGACTATAGGAGAAATTGTGCTTAAGAGAACTGTTTTAGGGTCACTTGGTACAATTGGAAGACTTTAATTTGTATTACTTATTGCAAATTGTTAATGGTGTGCTGCAACGCTTCTACGGAAAGTAAAGAAAAATGTCTAATAACACTTAAAATAGTTTTAGTTTTATTGGAGGTATATTTATTTACTTTTGGTAGATTTTATAACACGTACAATGGTGATCAATACATTTTTTACTTCTGATAGAGCGATAAATTCCAAAGCTATGAGATCAGTTTGCAAAACAATCTTTCGGGAAACTCCAACATCACTTATAGCTCATATCTTATCTACGTATAAGGACTGATATTTTCGGTGAATGACTTAGTTTGTTATCGATACTATGTTCTTTAGGACCCCTTGAAAGAAATTCCAATCTTATCAAGTCTTCCCACTATAAAAACCATTGTACAGCATAGCTCCTTTTATGCAGTTCAAAGCACATATTCATACTTTTAAATCACAATTAATTCTTCTATATCTTATTATTTAGATAACCTACGAAATTTTGAACAAAATTAATATAATTAGACTAATTCGTTAATAACAAGGCAAATCGGATTCCACTACAAACTGTCAACACTAAGTCCCCTAGTTGCCATAGGCTATTCATTTCTTTTTTATGAGGTTGGCGGCCTCTTTTAACCTTGCATTTGCCCGTCCACAGACTACAGATCTGTGCGTGGAGCGTATCCAGCAAAGCAAGGGGTGAACCAGTACAGTACGAAGGTGAACTATAGATTTTTGTGGTATATAGTGACCAGGATCCGAACCCACGACATCGCTGCCTTGGGCCCGAAGTTCGTGACGCTACCACCTGAGCCACCGACTCACAACAGCTGTTGTCTAAGGAACATGTCGGCCTTAGTCGCCACTCATCCTACACTCATCTCCATTCATACTTGGCTTAATATACCTACATTTGTATAGTCGCCATTCCAAAGTAAAGTATTAAAGAATAATTTGCTGAATTGAATAATAAATTGTCAGAAGAGCTTGTTCCTAATTATTGTTTCCCATTTCATTATAACTAAGAAATAAATAATTTACAGCAGAGCGGAGTTATTAGGAAAATGAATTACAAAAAAATAAGGTTGTTTTACAATTTGATCGTTATAAATAATTTGTAAAACTAACAAATAAAAGTTAGGAGAACATAGTCGTAATATCAAATGATGGATTAACAAAATGTGCCAGCCTGACATTGGCAGGAAATTTTGCTTGTCTCTCCGTTTTCACTTTCTGAAACCAATAGAAGATTGTTATAAATAGCTAATCGTAAAAACTACTCTATATATTCTGATTTACTAGTACCACTTCAGTTTTAGGATGGGTGCCTAGGCCCAAGCCACAGCCATAGCTAAATAAAGTTACCTATTGAATTGATGGTTCAGTAAAAAAAAACGTAAACTTGTGAAGTTATTCCTTGTGACTTTAGTGATAGAACTACAGTTTCAGACTCTGGCGGAGCGATAACTGTGTGTAAATTAAATGGAGATATAAAACTATATGAAAATTCATCAGATTACCTCTCAAATTTTACACATAATTCATGATAGATTTATTTTTAAGATCTTGTGATCTTTTTAAGAACTGTGCAATACATTATAAGAGGCGGGGTTTCGCCGCGTAGAGGTAGGGTAGAGCTGAGGATTGGAACAATGGCGTTGTGCTAAGACTGATAAAACTCTACTTATTCATATATCAGTAGTGCATCCTCCACTATTACTTTATAAAATTTTTAATTTGTTGTGTTCATTTAGAAACACCTAAACAGGTGTGTACCTTGAATTTCACATTGAGAACAAAAGTAATGACTTGAACATGCGTTCTACAAACCATTCTAGTATTTCACATTCCGATTGATCGCTGAATAAGTTTCTTTTGGGATGTTAGGCTCTATGAGGATCGATAACTACAAACGTCCTCCACCTGACTATAATATCGTACAAATATAGCTTTACTGACCTTTCTAGTTTCCCGCATTTGTTTTTCCTTGCGTTAAACGTCTCCCCAGGACCGCACTCTTTTCCACGGGCCTTAATTATGTTTCTTCCATCGTCAACAGCTACTGGAGCAGGGATTGACTTGAATTTCTCCTTCGTTGTCTTGAAATTAGGATCATGTTCTCCAAATATCCTCTCAGGTTCAGGAGTAGGGTTCAAAATAGGGTTATCAGGAAAAACAATTATTCCACCGTCAGTATTTCCAGATTGTTTAGTGCCATGTTTTGAAGATGTTTGCTGGTTCCCTCCAATAATGGTTGCTGGGGATTGTCCTGCTCCAGGTTCAATATAGTATTTTGAGGTGGTTGTTGAAAATCCACCGTTGAAAGCATCAGGGTAAGATTGTTCTGGGGCATTTTGCGAAAGTTTTTCATCATCGTTAAATGGTGATGACTGACCCTCAGGGTTCGCCGAACCCAAGGGACCCGTGGAGCTAGATGATTGTTGATTCGCGTATGTTCCAGACGATGAGGATTGTTGAGGATTGTAGTTCTCGTTGGCGCCGTAGGAGCTTGTTGTAGTCGAAGTTGATTCGTCACCACTATACAATGACTGTTCATCATTATTTTGATATTGAGATCTAGTAGTCGTTGAAGTAACTGAGAGAAACTCATTAAGTGTGACACCTTCGAATGGCTGGTTGTTTTTCGGGTAATCAACACCCGTAGATTCTTTGTCACGTTCATTTTGATCGAAGTTATAGTTCCTTGGAGTGGTCAATTTAATATTATCACCACTATTAGTGAAAGAAGACTGACCCGTAGATTCTTTTTCACGTTCATTTTGACCGAAGTTATAGTTCCTTGGAGTGGTCGATTTAATATTATCACCACTATTAGTGAAAGAAGACTGACCCGTAGATTCTTTTTCACGTTCATTTTGATCGAAGTTATAGTTCCTTGGAGTGGTCGATTTAATATTATCACCACTATAAGTGAAAGAAGACTGACCCGTAGATTCTTTTTCACGTTCATTTTGATCGAAGTTATAGTTCCTTGGAGTGGTCGATTTAATATTATCACCACTATTCGTTAAAGAAGACTCACCATAGTTGTAATTGCTTTCTTCATACCTGTACGTAGTTGTTTGCGGTCCTTTACTATAAAAACCATTGGAATGATCATGATTTTTATTTTTGCTGTGAAAACCGACTCCTGGATCTTCAACTGACTCACTTGAAGATGTGTCCTCGCCAGAGTGGTTACTCTTGATATTCGATACCGCATGTTCCTCATGTTCGCGGTGGTTTTCATAAGAGGGAAGAATCGGCACAATTGTCGTCGTAGGTTCTGTCGGGTGAAGTACTTCCTTTAACTTCTTAAGCAATTTAAACCCGTCACTCCCGGAAACACACAACACTACTATACAAAAACAAACAACACTGAACAATTTCATTTTTAAATATACTAACAACAATTAATATAGGAATTGTATTAATATGTGGTCAATAGTTTTCACTCCGAGTAACTGTCATGATCGAGACCAAATGGTCTGTTGTACTCGAATTCACTAGATATTTCTCAAGGCCAAGCCAAAGATCAAGTTCCAACGATAATGGCCAGAAAAATAACTAAGATAATCTACGAATCTGTTTTCTCTGAGAAGTTATAAGTTTATACGTCATTATAAGCGAGGGGGATTCCACCAATTTGAAGAAAGCTTACGTATGAGTTTTTTCTATATTAATTTATGTGTGTAAATTATGTCTTTATCTCGGCATTTCTTTTCTCAATACTATTGAGGAGACATGTTGCTCATACAAAGTAAACATTTCAACCAAGTATTTACATTATCCCAGTCCGTCAGGAAACCATCCGTAAATTTGTCTTTTACATGTAAAATTAAAATAATGCAATTCGTTTTTGTTTTTTAAGTCATTTGTCACTACTGTAACTCAAGTTTTTATACATTGCAAATCTGAAATGTGATTCTTATTGTTGTAAATTCGTTATATTTAAAATAACTTTAATTTGAATTTTCATAACTTTTATTACTTAGTCGTGTAATATTTATTCAATTATTATTAATGAGAGTACCCCCAGATTCATGTTCACTGCCAAATTACATGCTCACTGAGTTACATGCCAACCATCAACCAAAACTTGTTTTCCTTTATTTAACGTTTCAAATGCCTAGAACATACATCGGCAGTCTAAGAATGTATTTTTGCAAGATGAAAGAATACAAAAAATGCTTGGTCTACCAAAAACTTTTATATTACTCTGCCCATCGAAAGCATTTCTCCCTAGCCAGGGTGCATCAATTGGTGATTAAATACAGCCATTAGTTGGTATTGAAAAATCATTGATAAAACAAAAACCAAGTTTGCATAAATTAATTTCCATGTTTCCTATTAGTCCAAACCAATTTTAACAAATGCTGACTTTCTTTACCCCAAGACTGGGGAGTGGTGGTCAATATTTAGTTTTGTTGTTTGACTCCTAAATTAATTGATTGAGGTTAACACAGATTTACATGGTACAAAACAATATTTTGAGCATATAGCTATGAGAATAAGAGTCGTTGAACTGAAATATTTGTAGTTATGGTGATCCACCCTTAGGTGACTCTCATTACCCTAGTCTCCCCTTCCCAGACAGCACACTTTCTCCTCAGGACATCCCACGGATATTGCGACAGGATATGCAAGATATCCCATAGTGGTCCTATGGTCAACCCGGGATATCCCAGGATATCCACAGGAATGCGTAATGTCCCCGCCCGGGGATGTCCTACGGATAAGCTCACACGCATATCCGTGGGACATCCGAGGTCATCCTCAGGACATTCTCAGGACATATGGGACTACTATGGGATGTCCCTGGGATAAAGTTTGGTCAGGGCCTGAACATAAAAAACACAAAATAATATAGATTTAGTATGAAAATCTTAATTATAAGTTTAGTAAATTGATTAAATAGTTAATATAAACAAATTTTGAAGAAAAAAACAAGAAAAACGTTTTTGGCCCAGACGGGTCTCGAACCTGGTACCTTCGCCTTATGTGCCTCTTACCTTACCTCCTGATCTATCTGCGCTTGATGATTATGGGTCTTTTCAAGTGGTGAAAGAGTAGCCGACAGTTGCAATGGTCGCAATACTTAAAATATTGTTGATACTGCAGTATATAATATATGATTCTGTTAATCTGTTTAGGCCTCAAGTAGTTGAATTGTTTTTCTGGTAGTTGGAGAGGATACTGGTATTTGAATGTAGATTATTTAATTACCATTAGATTAGCACTGTTATAATTGATTGTTATATGATTAAAATTAGTTTTTGATTGTTTTTTAATTTAAAGTTAGAATTAAATTCACATTTCACACAACTATGATAGAACTCTAGTTTTCCTGAACTCAGTGGTAGTAATATGTCAGTAAAGTTAAGTCAGCCCTTGCTAGCCATAGTATTAACAAGACATATTTTCAATCTGGTAAACCTTAAACTTTTAAAACAAATTATAAAACCTCAACATCTTAATGCGTGGGAATCTTATTTTTAGAAGAAAAAAAACAGACCAAAAATATTTGTTAAATAAGGAAGACGGCCCAATTATAAATTCGGAATTACTGAAAATAATTACATCAAGAACAACACTGTAATATATCCAAAATTCAAAAGATTAATTTTTCTAATATTATTTTTTATTTTTCCAATATCCTTTAAATCATCTGTTTTAACTTTGATAAAAATTAATTTATTAAGTAAATATTTACTTTTTGTACTAGTGTAAACACAGCCTGAAGATAGAAACCAAGTTTCTGAAAGCGCTAGTGAAAAAAAACAAATTATTATATATTGGCCTTGTTGAACATTTAAATTTAGATATACATTTCATCAGTGGTAGTATTTTTTTTCTTCAGTTTGTTACCGGGACATTACGGGACATTACAGGATATCCAGTGGATTTTGTAAATGTCTCGGGATGTCATGGGACATTCTGGGATATCCTATGGCATTCGTACATATCCCGGGACTTTACAGGATATCCTGAGGTTAACTTACAAATCCCGGGACATTACGGTATATTGTAGTATACCGTAATGAGTCCTGTGAAAAAGGAACGAAGTCCACCGTGAGTCCTGTGGATTTCGTACTTGTCCCGGGATTTTGCAGGATATCCTGAGGATAGCGTACATATCCCGAGACATTCTCAGGACATAGGGGACTACTATGGGATGTCCCTGGGATAAAGTGTGCTGTCTGGGTTTTACATTACCTGAGTCCCTTGTACACTTAACCACTTCTAACATTTACGACTGCCCACTCTGAAGGCTGCATTACTCACCTATACGAAGGAGAACATGTTCTACAAGAGTTGCTGAAGACGCCTTCAAAAACAAATAAGTCACAATACACACTCTCCAGTATCATTCGTAACATCTTCAAAATCATCATTGCACTTGGCCTGCGATGTGGAATGCTTTGAACTAGACAACCGATACCGACTCTAGAACTGACCTTATTATTTGCAAGACGGAGAGGCAATGTTCAAAGTTTTTACATGGAAGAAATTATTGATGATACACAAAATGAATTTTCAAATGTGAGCTCAACACTCCAATCCCATATTTATAGTACTATGAACTTATATATAGACGTTGGCCAACTAAAATGTTCTAAAAAGTTAATGCATGTTCTTAATTTTATTAATTATACTAAAGTGAAAATCTTTAATTTTTTATTTCTGTAATCAAGTTGTAATCTGTAATCAAACTTCTTGAACCTCTTAAATTATAAATTTCTTAACAAACAATTGTCTAATACATATCTACATAGTTTGTTTTTCATTTTAAGCCCCATCAGTTTGCCATATTTTTTGCTGAGCTGTTGCAGAACACACTCTTTGTTAGAAGGGAAGATAGACAGGTCTTATAATAATTCAGTGTTGCCACACACATGTATACTACGTATTTTGGTTTCTACTTGCTTAAGGTTTTTATTTTGTTTTACCGAATGTTGATAATTAATTGTATATTTTGTTTGCTGGTATTCAAATGTAAAACTGCATACTGATGGTTCAGAAACTGTCAAAGGTATTTTAGTATTTCTTCATAATACAATAATTTACTGTTCCCAGAGTCCTTTTTGTGACAATAGGACCTTTTTAGCAAAACCAGTGACCATTCCGAAGACGATGATTACGTAAACTTTAGTCATGAGAGACGGAAAGATCCTTTAGCTACAAAAATATTTATTCTGACATAGATCAATATCAACGACCCACACGTGTACCTTACAGGACACGACATTTTTACAAACAATGTGTAGTCCTATGTGTCATCTGAGGAATGATCTTAGAATACTAGTCCGTCGGTTTACAAGTAGTATTTGTGCAATTCACTCACAGGACTCATCAATTGCCAATACAAACAGTTGACTTCAGATTCCCATTTTAATGCATTATTGGTTTACAGTTACTTGTGCTTTTAAAGTAATCAATTTTATAAACTTCCAATGTTACCTCATTAAGATTATATTCTAATATACACTAACACGATTTATTTTACCACTTGTATGGTTTAAGACTGACAAAGTAGTTTTAATCATTTACTGACTCATTGTAAGAAAATACATAATATTTTATCTTATAAATGATTCATTTTATAACACTATCCATAGCAGTACTTGATGTCACATATTGAGAATCTAGAACAAATTTTGAGAAGAACGTTCTAGGTGAAATCAATAAACATTCAATGTACGTTGTTTTATATTTATGTTTAATAATTATAATTAACTGTTGTTATATTTTGTTGAAAGGTGAATGGAGCTATATGTAATATTAAATGACAGATTGGCAAGCTGTGCAGGCCTGGAGAGTTGTCGGAAGCTGGTCATGTTGACATGTCTCATCGTCCTCATTTCCTGAAACAGAGAATATTTGGTTAAAATTCACTTTCAGTACTTCAGTAACATTATAGACTCTTTAGTATTTTCCAAAGGAACGGTGACATCTGGAGCAGTTGCTCACAGATTGCAATGGTGTTTGCAGAAACAAAGACGACAACTGAGTCGTTTTCTCAGATACCTGTAAATTTGTGTTATAAAATTGAACTAAAACACACCCTAAACAGTGCAATCAAAGGTTAGTATGGCAACGGTGTCTTGACCAGCTCAACAGCTGAAGTGTGACGTGGACAAAACAGGACAAATAAAAAAAATGAATACCTTTGAATTTCCTGATAAAGAACTTTATTATTATGAATCAGGTGTTTTTTAAACATGCTTTTGTTGGTGTTTTCCCCGTAGGTAATGTTGAGGTAGGGAAGGAAGGTAGGGAAGGAAGGTAGGAAAGGAAGGTAGGGAAGGAAGGTAGGGAAGGAAGGTAGGGAAGGAAGGTAGGGAAGAAAGGTAGAGAAGGAAGGTAGGGAAGGAAGGTAGGAAAGGAAGGTAGGGAAGGAAGGTAGGAAAGGAAGGTAGGGAAGGAAGGTAGGGAAGGAAGGTAGGAAAGGAAGGTAGGGAAGGAAGGTAGGGAAGGAAGGTAGGAAAGGAAGGTAGGGAAGGAAGGTAGGGAAGGAAGGTAGGGAAGGAAGGTAGGGAAGGAAGGTAGGGAAAGAAGGTAGGGAAGGAAGGTAGGAAAGGAAGGTAGGGAAGGAAGGTAGGGAAGGAAGGTAGGGAAGGAAGGTAGGGAAGGAAGGTAGGGAAGGAAGGTAGGGAAGGAAGGTAGGGAAGGAAGGTAGGAAAGGAAGGTAGGAAAGGAAGGTAGGAAAGGAAGGTAGGAAAGGAAGGTAGGGAAGGAAGGTAGGGAAGGAAGGTAGGGAAGGAAGGTAGGAAAGGAAGGTAGGGAAGGAAGGTAGGAAAGGAAGGTAGGAAAGGAAGGTAGGGAAGGAAGGTAGGGAAGGAAGGTAGGAAAGGAAGGTAGTAGAAGTTTCGTGGAAATTCGCTTATCGTTGCATTTGGCACTTGTTAGTGCTGTAGGTAAAGAGGCCAAGAAGGCAAAGAATTTGTGCATAACATCTATATTTATGTGACTTCAAATGTATGGAAAGTAAATAAAAGAGACGTCTTATAACACTTAAAACATATATTTATGCTTATACTGTTACTCACAAGACGGTGAATATACAAACAAGGTGGTAAGTGGTGATCGATTTCGATTGGACACTCTAATCATTATCAGACCCAATAGGCGAATAACGTTCAAATGTATGTCGGAGTTTAAAAATAAGTACACATTTAAGCGTATATTTTCAAAATAAATCAGGTAGTCGTGGGAATATAGTGACTATAATGGTCAAGTTATTGTAAACAGGTATTGACACAGTATTTTAAAACACGCATCAGCGCCTCTTATACAACGTATTCGGTTGGTTTCACCATTTCACCGCTTATCTAAATATAAAAAAAAAACCCTAACCAAGTGGAAAAATTGAGTTATGAATTAAAAAGAAATTATGGATGTGTAATAATTGTATGCAGCATGTCTCTATCGAACCACAAACTATAACTGGGTTGGTTATTCACTTCCACGACCCTTCATATCGATGCACGGTTGTAACAACTAGTGCCTAAATTGCGAAACAAAATTGAATCACAGATTTTATTGACACTAAAAACTATGCAAATAAACCTAAATAAAAGCTAGCTTTTGGTTCTGAACTGTACAATATAGTCCCCGTGTTGTTTGTTAAAACGTTACACCAGGCCCCTTTTATTCACAGCGGGTACCCGCCGCGGGCGACCGCTGCATCAATGTGTCACCTGCGAACGACCGCTGTCACGTGGATAGTGTAACAGTGCTGCCAACTCTGTTTTTTTTTTATGTATACTCCTTCAATCTAACCACACAGTTATTTGGTTTACAGCTGAGAACTGTCATCGATTCACTTCAACGGCTGCTATTTAAGCCTGAAATCTAGCCTGAAATCCTCTGTAAAAGTTTCAAATAGTGCCAGAGTGGTGTTCAACCTAAATTTTATTTACTGTAAATAATTTCAGACAAAATCTTTCAGTATTTATGTCCGTAACATGACATGAAGTAACGATGAGAGGTTCAGCTATGTACACGACCTAACAACTATACATACTATAGACTATAGTAATATAGCCGAATGACTAGACCACTTGTAGTGAATGACACTGGTGACTTGGGTTGGCAGCAATGCAAGAGCGACGGTGGGCTCCCGCGTTGAATAAACGATCCCATATGACACAATGCATATACGAACCGCTACCCGCCGGCGGTTTCTAAGTGCAAGCGGGTGAATTTACAAACCTCCGCGGGTACCCGCAACTTCTGAGACCGCTCCTATTTGAATAAAAGCACCCATTTACGGCAATGCATTTATAAAACCGCGGCGTTATTTACAAAAATAGCATAAAACTAAGCTAACCACAGTTATTCTGAATTCTCGGAATTGTAGATTGTATAATTGTTATAAGAATATATAATAGGTGTTTCGCAACAAGTCTAACTAAAGCATATTAAATTGGTTTACATTAACTTAATTTTTTCATTAGAAAATTATTCGGCTGAAATGCCAAAGTTTTGTCGTAAGCCATATTCGTCGTTTGGCTAATTTATCATACTCAGACAATTGGCATGCAATCTACTCTAGTCAAGTCTGTGCAAGTCAGTTTTGAATAGGCCTATGTAAACAATTAATTATAAAAACAATGTACTGACAAATATATTTCACAAACCTTGCTATTTTTACGCAGATGCCACGAACTCTGTCGCGAGTTTCTCCAGGCTTACAGGTTTTGGAAGGAGCGTATATCATTCGCCTTGTATAGCCTAAGAAATCTATATTTGGTATTTTTGAGCTTATTCCATAATCGTCATATATTGATTCCTGTCCTTCGTTAGCTAGATTTTGAGAATCGGGAACACCCGTTGTTCCAGAGGATGAAGATGGTTCAGGAATATGTTTTTCGTTAGTACCAAAATAACTTGGTGTAGTTGGTGGTGAATCCTGAACACGAAACCCATTGACAACTGGCTCCTCTAGACCGTTTTTGTTCCAGACGCGTTCTTCTTGTTTGTAAGAAGGAAACATCGGTGCAATCGTCGTAGCTTCTGTTAGGGGAACTATGTTCCTTACATGTCTCACTAAATTAACCCCGTTACTTCCAGATATACACAACACTGCATTGCAAACAAACACGAAACTGTAACACTTCATTTTAACAAAAACTGTGGTAACAGGTAATAACCAATAACGTAACTATTATTAACTGGATTGACAGTTATTGACTGCCATAACCGCGACTAAATAACTTGTCTGGTTTTATTCGCAGTTAATATTTATTTTCAAAGAGGTTAAGTCAAAGATCAAGTTCCAACGATAATGCACAACCCAAGGAGAAACATTTTATACATATATTCTGTTGTTTATAGTTGGTTTAAATATTTATTAGGAGAGAACTCTGTCGTAGAAGAACGGGTTGGTTACAAAATCCATGTATTGTTCAAACTGTACTTTATAGTTTGTCACTAATAAATGAGGTACATACGATTCTTCATAATATTAAATTGACGCGATGATAATATAAACTGTATGCAGTAACGTATAAAACCTTTGTATGCAAATTTCAACATGGGCTTAAAACTACATCAGGCTTTTAGAAAACTACCCTTATATTTTTGGCTAAATTTTGTAATATTTTTGCTTTAAAAATTTCTTTAATTGCATTTCCGATTTTATTCGGAATCTAATTATCAAAATTAGGCCAAGGGGACACTCGCCTTTTGTGTACTTTTAGTACTTTTTTTTGAGTTGAGACTCGACATTTGAAATGCATGCATTGCTTCACTTTTGTCTCTCGTTTTTAATTAGTAGGCCTACTGTAAATAGTTTTTCGTGTTTAAATGTTTTGTAACTGTGTTTAAAACTGTGACGTGACATGATGAGTCAAAAAACTTCAAGTTTGTATATATGGATCTGATGATGGTATAACAAATACCGAAACGCGTAATCCTGTTGGATATTTAAGGACCACTAAAGGCAGTCTGCAGGTATTGTAACCTTCTTATTTTGAAATAAGTTTTAGTTTTTGAATGGACATGTTTTGTTGTTTGAGTTTATTAACGAACCACTAAAACAAATATTTCTCTTGTCATACAATCGTAAAAACTCTAAAATAATCTATTTTATCAGCGTATTGTAAATAATTTACATTCATGAATCAATATTGTAAAAATTAATACTTTTGTAAGACTTCTTTAAAGAATACTCATCCAACATACATTTTTTAAACACGATTAAAACTATACATAAATGAGGTAGAAGTTTGCATCACTAAACTCAAAATAGTGTGCGTTGTAAAATGACTTTAGCTACGATTCGGGGTTATCACCTGCCTAAACGTTATGATTGAAATACTAATCTCACTTCATTCTACACTTGTCTTTCACTCAGATCTTGGTTAAAATTCATACATTTGTGGTGTTCTCATCCAAAAATGTAATAGGGTAATATAGTTTCATAGATAAAACATACATGATACTACTTAACATTTTTGTTAGTGTAATTTCACACCATTAGGATGTGTAACAATGGCCTTTTAAATCAGTGGCAAATGGCATCTGGTTACAGAGTACTTGAAACCGATTCAGTCGGCACACAATAAGCAAAGTAATATATAATTGCCCAGTCAAGCAGTTTTGAGGAAGGTACATGGAATCGGCACTAATCTTTCGTCAAATAATGATATTTCATCATGATAACAGTTAAACTTTACTATTCAACACAGAAAGAAAATCTATAACTTTTCTCGATTACAATGTTCAGGGTTGTTATTGTGGTATCAATACGCGTACTATGTCCAATATAAAAAATCAAGTAAAAATGCTCACCCTTTTTTAAATGTTTTGTCCCGCAAGTCACTCTCGAGTCACCGGAACTTCTTCCTGCACTTCCCACTTCTGTCCTTCCCACTGCCCGCCCCACACCCCTTGGTCGGTGCTGATATGAACGCTCTCCCTCCGTCTTCTGGCACTGATTCTACAGGAGACGCCGTCGAAGACGTTGCTGAGTTATCCATTCTCATCCACTCTCTAGCATCACTTTCACCATCCTCCTCGAACTTGACCGTCGAAGTTGAAGTTCGAGACGATTTGAGGACATCTTCGATCACCTCGTCGTAGACCGGTAGCTCGGTTGTGGTTGTAGTGGTTGTTGTTCCCAGGATTATGTCCTTAACTCGCTGCAGAAGCTTGAGCCCGTCACTTCCACACAAGAGGGACACCACCAAAACCAACTGGAGACGAACGTGCATTTCTCTGTTGTAATAGTTAACACCACTCTGATAGTTGTCTCGCAATCTGGCCTACTTGGTCCGAGGTCACTTTTGTTTTCAGATGTAAAGTAGGGCGAGCGATAAGTCTTTTTTAAGCTTTAGATGAAACTTATTTGCACACGGCATTGTTGTGAAATGTCTAAAGGATTGTAGCCCCCTATAGATCCGTTTAGTAACGTATACAGGGCAATAGATTAGATTATTCTGTTAGAGGCTTTTCGACTTTTAACTGTAAATACCACTGCAAGGGGCCCTTAATCTCAAGAATCTGTTATATCTGTAATTATTGATGAGAAAATTTTGTTAAAACTCAATATTAAGTAATCATGGAGGTTACTATATTTTTAGTTCATCTTCACCATGTCATGTCAGCAATAGTGTGCTGATACAGTTTTCAATTTGTAATATATTTATTTGTGTAAGGATTATTTCTATGGAGGTGACCCACAACCCATTGCTTTCATCACCGTGTAAAAACATCATGATTTCGAAATTTGAATTTTAGATTTGTATAACGTGCGATGTAACATGTAAAGCCATATACTTAGAAATTGGTTATGTTACAATTTGTCTAATAAGTTTTAGAGTTGTATTTATTTAAACTTAACACTATTTATTAATTTAGCTTTATCATTAGAATCATTTTTGTCATGTTATGCCAGTGGCTATGTTTTAAAAGCAACGTTTCACTAAACGACAAACATCAAACTTGGATACGATGTTTTATTTTTAACCACTATACCTCAACTGACTGGAATTGTAATATTCTCAATCAGAGTACAATTATTGTCCTACAAACTCAAGATTTAGATACACTTTTTAATATACTTTGGAGATACTTCGGCGTACAGCGTGGGTAAATATTAAGGGAAATTTAAGTGCATTCTATCTTATATGGTAAAGTAAACATATATACTTTGCTAACCGTTCTGCAGGTATAAACAAAGCTCGAAATGTGCATTTTGAAAGTCAGAGCAAAATTCTAGAATCCTCCTAATTTTGATGTAGTTGACTTGTGTTTTTAAAGTGTAAAATTATCCAAACAAGAGAAGAAATAAGTACATTTTATCATGCTATTTATTCACTTAAATACCAGTATACTTGCCGGCAATATACTAATCTAGATTATTAATATCAAGCAAAATTCGGGCTTAAAGTTAACCACAAACTACAAGGAAGATTGCCTGGCGAAATCAATTTATACATTAGTCAAATCTCTTACCACCAAATTCTTGCTATAACAGGTTTCATATTAAGAATGCTTAGCAATTCCGATAGCATCAAAATCTCTGGGAGTCGGTGGTACTAGAAGTATTCTTCATTAAACGCGTTTGGAATTAAGTCGATATCGTTATTTTATATAAAACATTCCATCAACACAGCAATAATCTTCAAATGTTAAGAAATGTAAACAAAGTAAACAATGAAGAATGAAACAATGAATAAAAACAGCTACTCTGCTGTTCTATGAGATGAAGACTGAGATACATGTCAAGCAATGTCTCTGCATTCTCCGTCACTTCTCATCTGACCACTAGGACAGTCCCGGTCTGGGGCGTCCGCCACAACCTTGTCTTCGTCCTCCGTAGTTGCCTCTGAAGACGCGGGTGTCGTGGTCGTAGTTGTGACGTCACCAGTCGAGAGTTGCGTCATCACTTGACTATCAGATATAATTCCGGTGCTAGTCTCTGGTCTCTGAGTACTTTCGGTCAAAACACTTTCGTCACGGAAAAACTCGGAGTATTCCGGATATCCGGGAAACCTGAATTGATTTAAGAACCTCTGATTGAATTTCGGACCATACTTCAATTCATCGGCGATCGTGAACCTCCTCGGTAGTGGAGGGTATGCCTTTGGGCTCTGGAAGTGGCCGTGGCCGAAACTACCCGAGTGGTAACCGAAATGTCCTGAATGGTAACCGTAACCGGGGTAAAAGTATTGCGACACTGTGTCGGAAACTTGAAAAAGGAGCACTAACAGTAGAACTTTGCTCTTCATGGCACCCGCGAGAATGTCACTTTGCCGATTGGCGACGAAAGTAGGGTTTGATAATCGATAATTAGAACGGACAAGCCTTGGTCAACTTTCTGACGAGGTCGACCTGTCACAGAATACGGTAAAAGGGAATTAGTAGACCAGAGGTGGGAGAACAGCGCGGACATTAAACACTGATGTAAGTTAATCAGTCTTATATTTAATAAAACATAACTTGTACCCCCTAAAAAGTGTTGTAAAGGGTGAGGCAATGAGAACGCCACAATTTGTTTTAGCTGTCACATGTTAATTGTTGCAACAAAGAATGATCAGCTGGGCTTAAAACATCAATAAAACTATGCCATTTTAATAAATATTATGCCCGAGGCTATTAACACTGAGATTTTGATGTGCAAACCTATTTTTAAAATAGTGGTTCTTGTGCAAAAACCCAGAGATAGTTTGGACCACATTTCATCCTTGGTCAACATGGCACTGTTCCAGATTGGAAAACAATGGTGAACTGGGTAAAGTTATTTAGGATAAACGATTAAACCTTAAAAATAATCGGTGGGTACCGCAAAACTCTTTGTACACCAGCAAATGTTGAAAGAGTGCGAGTCGCAGTAACTCAAAGTCCAAAGGGATTTGCCAGGAAGCTTTGTTGTTGAAAGCTTTACGTTGGCTCCTTTTTTTGGAAGGGGGGGGGGGTTTCTAATAAGCTACTTGAAGTTCGAGGTTTTTCAAAGTCACCCCACAGATTTGCTTGAACCGAAACTAAGAATTGTCCAAAAACTAAAGTGATTCCTGAAGAAATGCTGGAGGAGTATTTGATGGAGTTTTCAAGTGCCTAATGTCAAGTAGGACAAGGAAGTCACTTGCAGGATTTCGTTCTCAAGAAATGGAAAAATGACTTTGTTAAGTTAAAATGGCAAAAGATAAGCTGTGTTTTGATGTGCTATTTATATCCATAGGGTGAATATTATTGAGTTTGTACTGCTTATAAATTGGGGCGCTTTCATTGCCCCACCCTGTATGTAATAAAACATAACTTGTAGGCCCTAAAACCTT